AAGCGTTCTTAGTAACTCGAGTGGTGTAAAGCGTTCTTAGATATTCTAATTTCGTCCTTAACTGTAATTGCATCATTAGCAACCATAAAGTGTCATCACCAACATTAATTATGTCCTTAGCAACTTCAATTGCTTCATTAGTCGTGTCTTTAGCATCTATAAGGTTTTGTCAGCAATTTTTAATTACGTGCAGAATTGCTAAATACATCAACAATTCTAATTTCATTCTTAGTAACTACGAAGCGTCCTTAATAACTAAGTTGGTCTCTTTAGCAACAATAATGCGTCCTTAACAAATCTAATTGCTTCATTAGCAACCATAAAGTGTCATTACCAATGCGAATTATGTCCTTATCAACTTCAATTGCTTCATTAGTCGTGTTTTTAGCAACTATAAGGTTTTGTCAGCAATTTACAATTACGTGCTTAATTGCTAATTCGAATTTCATTCAAAGTAACTACGAAGCGTCTTTAATAACTCAGTTGATCTCTATAGCAACAATAAGGCGTTTTTAACAACTATAACTAATTGCATCATTAGTAACTATAAGGTGGCATTAACAACGTTCTGAATTGCTACGATTTTACATATTTAGCAATTGCGTCCTTTGTAACTCAGCTGGTGTATTTAGCAATAATGATGCGTCCTTAACAAATCTAATTGCTTCATCACCAATACTAATTATGTCCTTAGCAACTCTAATTGCATCATTAGTCACATCCTTAGCAACTTTAAGGTGTCGTCAGCTTAATTGCAAATTCAATTGTAACCATAGCAACCATAAAGCGTCCTTAGTAACTCAATTGGTAACGTTAGCAACAATAACATCCTTTCCATAGTTATCATTTGATGGCAAATGCTACAGTTTTCGTGTTTGAAAGCAATGATGATACTAATTGTGACATCAAGAATTCCGGTGCGATAAACTGGCACTAAAACCAGCAAAGAAAATAAATAAATAAAAATAGAAGAAAACAAAGAGAGAAATAATAAAAATAATATCGTGTATATGTGCCGGTTTACGATCCATTATTGCCCGTGATCACAATAAATTTCTGCTCCGAGAAGTTATAAAAGCGGCAGTAAACGGCAAATCCTGAGATGGCTTCATTATGAAGAAAAAAAAAATAGCTAAGAAGTAGGAAAATCAATAGGAAAAAGTATGAATCTATAAAAGCCTACACTAGTAATGAGAGCGATTTGCATTTGAATGCATTCATTGCGTACAAATATAATACAAAATTCTTCTGTTTGTGCCTCAACGCAGCAAAAATTTATCTGGAATGAGAGCGAGAGTGTACGTGTGAGCGAATGATAACCACGAACTAATCGCAACAGTTCGTTTTAAAAATAACCCAGAAGATTATACTTATTGTTGCGATTGAACAGTATTATTTTTTGTCGCGGATGTTACGCAAATTCTGCAAAGTTTTTGGATTGCTGACGTTCTGTTGTTATTAAATATATATAGTTAAGTATTTCATGGAAATTGTTGGAATTACTTGAAATGAGTCACAAAGTTTTTCTTTTCGTATGACTACAGTCACGTAATTTATATTAACTGCAGCAGATAATTCTAACGGATATATTTTTTTATTTCTTATAGGAATTATACAATCTTTTGCGATTATTTTTTAGCTTTCATTCTATTTTAATGTAGCAAACATTTCTCCATAGAAAATATCTACAAATTTAGTGCATTTTAATTATAATCAATAAAATTGAAGTATTCTAAATACGTTACAAATTTGTTTATTCAAATCTTTTAAACATTTTTTTTTAAATAATTCTCTAAAAATTAAGTTTCCAAAGTAAATTACGTAATTAAATAATTGTCTACTCTAAAGTGTTCAAATTTAATATTAAAGTTATTTATTGGCATAACAGTTTTTAATTAAAAGTGTAATTTTATAAATTAATACAGTTGGAAAATTGTGATAAACTTTTGAATTCGTTCAATGATAATGATGTGACGATGAAAAAGTAAAGTAAACTTTTTTGTTTTTTTTTTAAATAATTCTCTAAAAATTAAGTTTACTTAAGTTTACAAAGTAAATTACGTAATTAAATAATTGTCTACTCTAAAGTGTTCAAATTTAATATTAAACTTATTTATTGGCATAACAGTTTTTAATTAAAAGTGTAATTTTA